CCTATGACCCACACCTTTAACAAAGTCAAGAGTTTCACCCTGGCTCAGCCAGGGCACCATGATTCCCCTTCCTGGGAAGAAACGGAGATGTCTCTGGATCAACGACAAGACACTGTATCTGCATGGAGCTGTCTGTGCAAAGCCATCTCTGCTGGCCTACATTGGCCAGTGGGTTTCTGAGGGCACCTAGCAGGAACACCTCAGTGATAAGGCCACTTTCCCCTGGGTCACCAAGACATCACATTTGGCTGGCAGAGGAGTCAAGTGTGCTAAACAGCCTATGATAACAACCACCTTCAATACTGACAACCTGTTCCAAGTAAGGACTCCAGGACTTCCAGCAGTATCCTCTTTAAGAACATCAGCAGCATGAGCTGCATCGGTTGCTCTCCCAGGAACTGCAGGTGACGGTTTCCAGCAGGGTCAGCCACATGCGTTTTCCTATACACTTGTGCATTTCTATGTGGAGCCAGGAATGTGTCCCCCAGGCCCATCCACCCTGGCTCCTCATTTCCCGTTCTTGTTTTCCCTTTACCCTCATCAACTCATTGCACCATGGATGCACTTTTGAGAGGAATATTATAAATAAATTAATTATGCTCTATCAAAATCAGAGCTGAATTGAACTGCATCTCTTAAACAGATGTTAAATGAACTGGGGATGTAGCTCAGTGGCATAGCACTTGTCTAATGTGTGGAAGACCTTTGGTTCAATCACCAACATCAAGAAACTAAGAGAAGCTACTGAGTTCTAGCCCCAGTGCCAGGAGTGTCTTCATTTGGAAAGGGGTCTTTGTAGATGATTCAGCTAAGATCAGGTCACTAGTGTGGCTCTCAGTCCAATACGACTGCTGTCTACAGAACTAGTAAGTCTGGGCACAGAAATACATGCATGGGAAAGTACTATGATCACAAGCCATTCTGACACAAGCCAAAGAGCTATGGAAGCTGGAAGGGTTCCCTGTACCTGTGGAAGATGGTCTGTCAACACCCTGAACTTGCCCTTCAGCCCCAAGAACTATGGATTGCTTTGTTCAGGGAGCCCTGGAAACTAATCCAATGTGCACAATGATTTCAGTTCATATACGGTTTATATTTTCAAAGTACTAACAGTAAATATTAAGAGCAATATACATCTATCAGGACTGGGTGGGGGTCAAGGTAAAGCTTAGCATGCATGAGGTCTTGATCTCTGTGATAGTAGTCAACTTGTCACAATCTAGAGTCACCAGGAAAGAAAGTCTAAATGACAGATTGTCTAGGTTACATTGGCCTGTGGACACATCTGTGGGGTGTTGGGGGCCTCTGTTATGTGAAGTAGAAGTCTCTTCATATCCGGATAGCTCATGAGCTTGGAGTTATGTGCTGAGACTCCTTTCATAGCAGGGTGCTTTCCTGGCATTTTTCCTGACTCTCCTTTTGAAGTGCCCGCCACAAATGCCATAACATAAACATGGCCTCTGGCTCTAGGAATACCATGCTTTCCTGTGTGATTTTTCAGGTAGTCAGCAGTCTGGCAGCATGGCAGAAACCCACTTCCATATGCAAATAGAATGTCTCACAAAGTATCTATCAGCCAAAGCTTTTACCACTACCCCCATGGTATAAATATCCCAGTCTTCTCTCAGTAATAGAGAGCTGGATCACAGAGAGTTGGATCATAGAGAGCTGGATCACAGAGAGCTGTATCAGAGAGCTGCTGGATCACTAAAAGCTAAACACTTAATAAAAGCTGTAACATGGACTAAGCAGAGTCCCGTGTCTTACTACCAGCGATCCAGCCTCTCCGGAGGCAGCATTCCTCCGTCACCGACTCACGGAACCTTAGCTTTAGGCACCCTAGTACTTTCCCGCATGGTCCAGTGGCCAGTGGACCCCGAACACGGAGAAGCCCGCAGACCCGTGCCCGCCGCGACTCTCCAGGTGTGCCCGCGCACACCATGCCAGGGTGCCCAGCGTGCCCCATATCTGGCGTCCAACGTGAGAGCCTCTGATGACGTGGAGGCGGGGCACGCTGGGAACGCCCACGTGACCAGAGAGGTAGACGCCTGTGGCCAGGACCACCGTGACTCTCCAGGTGTGCCCGCGCACACCATGCCGGAGGCCCAGCGCGCGCCATAGTCTCCAATGTCTCCAAAACACTGAGGAGTAAAGTTGAGAGGGGTCTGCTGAGAAAGGTCAAAAATACGCACCATAGTGGGGGATTGTCTTGATTGCCTTAACTGATGTGGGAAGACCAGTCCATGGTGGGTAACACTATCCCTGGTTTGGTCTTGGACTGTTTAAAAATAGAGAAACTGAGCTGAGCACAAGAACAGGTGTGCATTCATCCTTCAGCTCGACTGTGGATGTGCAGCTGCTCCTGCCTTGATTTCCCTGAAGTGATGACTGTAAGCCAGATAAAACCTCTGCTTCATAAGTTGCTTATAAAGAGGTATTTTATTACTGCAACAGAAATGAAATAGAACAGGCTCCAACTCCAAAACTGGAAGAAAAATCATAATACTATAATAAGCACTAGAAAAAAATGTAGTAAGTAACTCAAACTTGGGTTTTAGGCATGCTACTGTTTGGGACTAGGCTGACTGGATATGCCATGCAAAGAGTAACTTCATTAGTACGTGAGGGGCTGCATGGGGTCAGGAAGAGTAGAGACTGCAGTCCAGGTTCTCAGGTGCAGGCTTTGCTGGCTGTGTGGCCCTGGACAGATTCTTTGAGTCTCTGTGTCTCAGTTTCCTTGGTATGGTGCTGTTGGAAATTGCAGTAGCTACTTCTTGAGTTGTTTGGATGACTACATGCAAGCTTGCATCTGCAATGCTGATACAGCTTGAGGGCTCTTCATTTTATTACTTGCATATGGAAAAAGCCACCACAGCACATCCACTAAAGAGGAAGTCCTAGCAGCTCAGTAGGATGGCTAGGAAGACAGCCCAGCCACTGCTGCAGGGCCCCCATCCTACACAATGGACCATACTCTAGGTTTCACTTTAAATTAAAAAAAAAAGATTTTGGTGCTGAGGAGGGAACTCAGGTAAGAACAGTGAGGCCTGTTGAGATGCCACATGGAAATACCACCATGTCCTCCATCTGCTTCTGGGACTGAGCTAGCCCTTCACCTAGTCCCATCACTCTCTTCCACTTCTCTCTGACAGAAGCTGGCAGAGCCAGAGTCACCAGCACTTCCTGCTGTCCTATGTGCACTATTGTGTTAAGCCCTCTAGATCACTTCAGTATGGGGACACCCCTGTGACCCCCATCAGCTGCTGGGATCTTGACTTGCTGACTCTGACTCACCTCCTCTCCATAAGCACCTGGTACTAGCAGCCCTGCTGGGCTCTGTCCCCTCTCGATGCAGGTCAGAGGCTGCAATGCCTGACAGGCTGAGACCCACATCCATATGCAGACCCCAGCTCTGGCCTGACTTCATGAGTGTCTGCTGCTAGTGACATGGACTCAGAACAAGCCCCATCCACATGACAAGCCAGGAACCCATGCAGCTGCTGAACCCCAGTTCTTCTACCATCCTTCCAGACTTCCACCTCCAAGCTCTGTTTCTTTGGGCCTCCATCCTCAGACAGGCATTTATTATGGGGAGAGGCAGATTGCTAGCATACCTGGATCCAGCTATGCCTGAAGGTCACCCTGCCTTTGGACTTCTCAGTTTTCCAGACTCATCTATTCTTTTCACATAGTTGCTACAGAAAACGAACTGTCTTGGGGCTGGCGAGATGGCTCAGAGTTAAGAACACTGGCTGTTCTTGCAGAAGACCTGGGTTTGAACCCAGCCCCCATATGGCAGCTAACAACTGTCCATAACTCCAGTTCCAGGGGATCCAACAGCCTCTTCTGTCCTCCACAGGCATCGCACAACATGGGTGTACTTACCTACATGCAGGCAATACACACATACACATAAAAAAATAATAAAAAATAAATAAAAATAAAATTAAAAAAGAAAATGAACTGCCTTGTGGGGGTTTTAAAATTGTGTGTGTGGTTATGTATGTGTGTACATGCATTGTGTGTATGTGTGGTATGTATGTGGTGTGTGTATGCATGTGAGAATGTGTGTGGTATAAATGTGTGTGTGCTTGTGAATGTGGGTATATGCATATATGTGTGGTATGTGTATGTGTGTGTGTGTGTGCATGTAGGTGTGTGAGTATGGTGTGTATGTGTATATGGTGTGTGTATGGTTTGTGTGTGTATGTGTATATACTATGCATTTGTGTATGGTGTGTGTGTGGTATATAATATGCATTTGTGTATGGTATGTGTGTGGTGTGTATGTATGTATATGTGGTTTATGCATGTGTTATGTATATATATATGTGGTGTATATATGTATCTGTGTGTGCATCTGTATGTGCACATGGATGTGTGTGGAGGACAGAGATTGATGTCAGGTATCTTCCTCTGTCTCTCGCCACCTTATTTTTTGAGACAGGATCTCTCACTGAACCTGAACTGACTTGGCTAGGCTGCTGGCCAGCAAGCCTCAGGAATGCTCCTTTGTGTGCCTCCTCCATGCTGAGATTACAGGTGTATACTGCCATGCTCAACTTTTTACATGGTGCTGGGGATCTGAACTCAGGTCCTTATGCTTGTACATTAAACATGTTACCCACAGAGCCATCACCCAGCCTCATGTCTGATAAATGCAAAGTCTTTTCCTACTGTTTGATTTGGGTGGTGTGAACCAGAAAAGGCCCAAGTGCTTGCCTTGAGCAGGCTTTCACCAGACCTTGGACCTACCAGCAGATTGAACTAGCCAACCTTATAACCACACAAGCAAATTCCTCCTCATAACCTCTTTCTCTATATAAAAGAAATAGCCCTTTGTTTAGTTTCTTGAAGAACTCTGATCAACACTTTGGCAAGGTCAGGTCAGCCTTCCAAGAAAGGTAAGGAAAAAGCAAGGACTTTCATCATGGCACAGACTGGGAGTACCCACCCCAGCCCAGGCCTCCTGCCCCGCTCAGGGTGCCCCCAACTCTTACTAGACGAGCAGGCCCTCTCTTGGTCTGGGCACACGGCAGGAGGCTGTGGATTCAGGTTCCCCTCCAGTTTGCTGGGAAGGAAGACTTCAGCGTCGTCCTTCCGCTTAGCAGACAGAACCCTCTCCCTCTTATTACCTGTGGGGAAGCAAAGGCTTCTGTGAGCCCTGAGCATAGGCAGAGCAGGGTGATCTTATCAGACATTTGTTTACTATTTGTTCACATGTTCATTCAACCAATATTTACTGAACTCCTCTGTGCCAAGGCACCTTGCTAGTCTGGGATTATGAGAACAATGCAGACAGAGCTGATAAACAAATGAAACACTCTGGAACAGACATGGGTTTTTAGTATTTAACATGTCCAGATATGACAAATCCTTACCAAAAGCATGCGCACCCACAGAGAGAAAGTGACTGTGGTGATGAAATTGCTGGGGAAGTTAAGGAGATTGCCAAATCAATGAAGCACTAGCTTTAATTGGTGGCGTGGTGTAATGGTTCCAGCAAGGTCCTCTTGGAGCTTGAAGGGGCACTTGCGTCCTCCAAGGGCTCACTGTCTAGCTCGAGAAAAGGAGAGCTGAATGGATGAGAAAACAGGGTACAGACAGAAGTCATGGAGTGTGTGGCCCAGAGGACGAGGGTATGGGGGTGGTGACAAAGAGAGTCTGTGTGGACAACTAGGCTGTTACTAGGCGCACAAAGGTGGGGACATCCTGGATACAGAACACCATGTGCAAAAGGTTCATGATGGCTTGGGGACTACCCTGGCCAGAGGGGCAAACTGTTGCCAAGGTTTCTAGGAGGACCCTCAGCACTGGTGGCACATGAGCAACTTCCAATGCCAGGTGGAAAAGGCCTTTTGTGTGTGTGGGGGGGGTGTAGTGGGGCTCCAATGCCAGGTGGCAAAGTCCTTTTGTGTGTGGGGGGGGTGTGGTGGGGCTCCAATGCCAAGTGGCAAAGGCCTTTTGTGTGTGTGTGTGTGTGTGTGTGTGTGTGTGTGGTATAGTGGGGCTCCAGGGCAGGTGAGAAACAAAGACGTCAAAGGTAGGAATCATGTTTGTACTTAGGAACTTCCTGGCCTAGGAAGCAAGCAAACCCAGGAGGTGACTATCTAAGTGTATGGTGTTCATTAACACACTCCTCTTTTACTGGGCTCTGGCTACAGTGGCTCTTTTCCAGTGCCCTTTGGAGCCCTTACAGCTGGAAGGCTGGGCCCATGGTTGGGTCCACCTCAACATTCCTGCCCTAGCTCTAGCACTACCTCCTCTGGGAAGGCTTCCCTGTCTACTCCAGCTCTAGTGGCCCTCCATCCCCACCAGCATCCTGCTATAACTGACAGAAGTCATTGCAAGCAGGTATACTCCATCATCTGTGTCCCCTTCCAATTGTGTCCCTCTGCTTTCTAGGGTTTCTCTGAAAATACTCTACTTGCCCAGTATCCTTCATGTTCCCTCAGATCCACCTTGGAAGCACCATCCATGCACATGAGTGGGTGGGCAGAACCCTTAGTCCTATTAACTGGCCCTGGCCCATCAGCCCCATAGTGATAGTTGTGAGATGGCATGTGACCTGTGGTGGGCTTCCTAATGCAGTTTTGAGAGCCTGGGACTCTGAGGAAAGAAAAAGTCACTTTCTAGTGGGGCTATATGGCCAATGTCTCCTATGAAGGCAACTGTGCCTCTGAACACTGGAGAGCTGCCTGAAGACAGAACTGGACCCTAGGGAAGTGGGAAGAAGAGGAAGGAAGGCGAGAGGAGAATTGGAAAAGAGGGAGGAAGGAAGGGAGGGCAATGAATTCTGCTCTAACTCTGGCTTTTCAGTTATGTAAGCCATTAACTAGTCCCTTTCACATTAGACAATTGGCATGTGGACTCTGCTAAACTTCTCACAATGCACTAGAGACTATTCCCATGAGGAAGTCCATGGTCTCTGAAGCCTTTGGGGAGCCTTCCCCTCTGCAGTCTGCAGGGCTCAGCTTGAGTTACCCCTGGCCTGTGAGGTGGTCTGGTCTACTCAGAGCTGAATCCCAAGAGCTGCTGAAGTTTAAGTTCTACAACTAAATGCATAGACACCCAAGGCTGAGAGAAGCCAGTGAGGCAGAGCTCACTTCTGGAAGTTGGGTTAAACTCCATCACTACAATTGCGTCTGTGGTCCGGAGACGCTGGCTTTCCAGCTCCTGTTCCTCAGGGGTATCCTTCTGCACTGTGTCCCAGCTGGAAAGAAGAAGCTCATCTCTGGGATGGCCTCGCAGCATGAGGTCCTCGGGCTCTGAGAGGACATCTTCCTCAATTGAGTCGTACTCCTCACTGGAGCCGCCCTTCTTCTTCTGGAGGTCTCCGACTAGTTCCAGGCTTTTTCTCAGCTCCTGTAGAAAGCCAAGAAGAGACACAAACAGGAAGACAGAATACTTTGTGACAAGCTTTGTGAAAATAGACCATGGGAAACAAAGAACAAGCCCTACCAAGCCAGCATCCAGTAAGAGCTTCTCAGCCTGGGGCTGGAGTTACTTTGAAGATGAGAAAATGAAGGTCGGGGGGGAAAATGAATGACAAACTGAGTTACAGTACTAAATGTGATGTCTGTAACCCTGAATGCCAGTAAAACCGAGTCTGGGTGCATGTGTGTGTACACGAACAAGTTTGGGTGTGTCACCCCTCAGATTCTCCAATTCCATGGGCTGTGAGGGGGCCCAAGAATTGTGCTTCTACAAAGGCAACCCAGATGTGCAATTCTGGGAGCACTTTGAATATGAAACCCCAAAGGCCTCCATATAGCCCTGAGACTCCAAATGAAAATATATTCAGCAGTGCCCTGGGGGCTTCACAGGACCCCAAGCCCACTTTCACAGGGTCATACCCCCCACCTGCACAGCCCAGCATGTGAGCAGCACAAAGATGTCAGGATATCAGCATTAACTCTGGCTGCCTGGTAAGCCCCATGTCTCTTATCTCCCTGGGATGGCAGGCCAGGCATTAAGATCTAACTATCAGATAATTTTCCATGATTCTTTTGTCTCCACAGGACAATAGGCTATGTATTATGATCTCTATGTAGAATAATCAAATACCTATCACCAAATTAGGACATTTCTGAAATGGATATTTAACCTGTCAAAGTATACCAATCAACCATCCTATCCAGTTAGTACATTTGGTCAGCATAGTGTTTCTACCCCTAAAGTCCCCATAGCAATCCAACAGAGTTATGAGAAAATGAAAAGCAATCAAAGAAGGCTTGATGAATGGCCAGTCAAACCAAAGTTGTGACAGGCTAAAGATGCCAACATCTTACTCCTTGGTACCTGTGAGCCAGAAAGGGTTCAGAAGAAAGTGAGGCAGTTTTTGATCATCAAAAGGGCTGGGGAGATGATGCAGAGGGTAAACTACCTGCTATGAAAGCATGAGGGCCAGGAAATGAGGGACATGTAGCTGGTGGGGACGGGCCTGTCATGTAGCATAAGACTCAGAGGTGACTATGTCCTAGACAGAGTTCCATAGGAAGCACAACTTGTCCTCTTGGAACTGGCATTTGGCTGAAGTAATAAGTTGAAGGCATGGTCTGGGTTCCTCTTGCTGCTGAGTAAAGTGTAAGAGGCAGGAGACAGACCTGGGGAGAGAACTGCCAGAGGAGAGGAATCAGAAGATCACTAGGGAATTTTTCCCCAACCAGATTATAGAAACTGATAAAACTAGGAGACTGACTGTCAGGAAGGTATGTCCTGGGCAGAAAACCAAGGGAATTCCTGTGGTTTGTGGATTCCTTGGGCCATCTTGGCAAAGGTAGGCTTATGTAGGAAATATTGGGGAAGAAAAGGGGGGCCTAGTGGAGTGAATCCTACAGACAAGCAGAGTAGCCCCATGTGATCTGAGATTGTTCTTCTACCAGAAACACTTCAGCTAGAACTGAATGAGAGAATGAAAGGCCCAAAGAAAAAAGGCTGTCAAGAGTCCCTGCAGTCTATCGGCAGGAATGAGGCCTGAGAAAGACACACGCAAATGTGTTCTTCTAGGGAAAGCAAGGCTGCAGATAGTACCACAGATGAAGGTGGAGCCTGGAACCTGTGAATTACTTCAAGCCTTGAAGCCAATGAAGTTCACCCAGCTGGGCTTTGACATCGCTTGGTTTGTGAATTCCTTTCTTTCTCTTACCACTCAAGTCTATTCCAGTGCCTTAGAAATGGGAATGTCTATCTTTGTCATCCACAGATTCACGTCTGTACTGGGGCAGATCTCTTGTTTTCTGGTCTCACAGGTCCTCAAGATGGAGAGGAGTTCTTCCCACCATGAACCATACCATGAGATTCACTGCCTACTTTACACAATGAGGTTTGGGAGTTGGTGCTGAAGAGACTCAGATGCTGCTATGCACATGAGTTGACACCTTAATGGGGTGAGACTTTGAGAAATCTTATGATGGGATGAACGCATTTTTGCAGGCAGGATGGATGTGAATCTGGGGAACAAGAAGGTGGATAAAAGACGGAATAAAAGGCCCCAAAGATGCTCCCATCCTAATCCCTGGCACCTGAAAGCATGTGCCTTTCTGTGGCCAACAGCTGTCTAGATTAGCCAGGTGGGCCTGATGCATCTGAGTAGCTCTAAGAGGGAAGCAGGAAGAGCAGAGATGCCAGAAGAGCAGAAGCAGATGCCAGGGAGGAGGGAAGGAGGATGGGGCCAAGGAAAGCAGGTGCCTCTAGAATCTGGGCTTTCCCTGGAGCCGGCAAAAGGAATGCAGGCCTGCTGGCAGCTTGATTTCAGTCCCCACGGAAGCGAGTTTGGATTTCTGACCTCCAGCACTGTCAGTCACTATGTTGATGGGAACACTGTAGCAGCAGCAGCAGCAGCAGCAACAGGAAACCAGTATAAATACCTTTTTATCCCACCATCATTTTCCACCTCTTTTTCCTACCATCTCACCCTGTACCAGCATCAGGAAAACTACCAAGCAACTGGACTGCTGTCTGGAGCATAGAGAGCTTGCTAAACACTTGCTGAATGAGTCAATTATGCGAGGTCTAGGTGGTGATAAGCAGGGACATGGCACACCTCTACCTTAGAGGAGGTGGCATCAGTGACAGGACCCTTAGCAAGTTACTTTACTCCTCTGAGCCACATTGACCTTCATCAAATGGTTTACCTTGCCCCTGTCATACCACATTGTGTAATAAAGCAGGGTCTGAACCAGGAATGTTTTCCATAACAAGAGGCCATTTGGTAATGACTAGAGACATTTTAATCACAGCATGGGGAGGGAGTGCTACTGATTTAGTAAGTGGAAACTGGGATGGGGCTACACTTTCTAGAGGGTACCGGACAACCTTTATAACACAGTATGATCTGGTCACAGTGTCAACTGTGGTGAGGCTGAGAAGCCCTGTATTAGAGCAAGCATGAACTCACCAGGGTGTTCAAAGGATAACACCAGGTCTTCTAATTGACCATGCTGAGATAGTCCTTGCAGCCCTTGTGGGAGCCACACAAGTCCTAGTTCATGTCATCAAAGTCTGCCTGTGGTAGGCAGTCAGAGGCCAACAGATTCCCCCCCCCCCCCCTCCCGGAGGAACTATGAGCTCCTGGGTGGTCAGCAGCTTCAGTTTCAGCCAAATCTTTTACAGCAGAATCATGCTGTGTTACACTTCAGGTCCTTTGCTCATTTGATCTTCATAATAACCCCGCCAGATAAGAAGAGTAAAGCCCTATATAACCTGAGCTTGGTTAAAACAGGTAGCCTCTTCAACCGGCCCCCATTCTCAAATGGTGTTGGCTTAAGTTCTCTGGGGTAAAGTGAACCTCTCCTTGTTCACCCCAGCATTCTGACCCAGTCAGTCACTTATAAGATAAAAAGATGGGTACCAGCTGGGAGAGAGAGAGAGTCCTGACTATCCTTAAAATCCCACTCTGGCTCAGAACAGTCCCAGCCAATGGTCAAGGCAGAGAGCAACCCCCATTCATAGCCACAGGAAGGACTGTTGGGATCTGTAGACCCAAGGCTGATGAGCAAGATTCCTCTGATTACCTCTCTACCGTTACAGGGCCATACCTCCACATTCACAGGCCCTCAACCCCATGTTCACAGGGCCATAACCCCACCTTCACAGGACCCCCAACCCCACCTTCACAGGACTACAACCCTACTTTCACAGGGCTGCAACCCCATATTTACCTGACTACATTTTGGGGTTCCTTAAAGTCTAGAGCCTCTCAGATGGTGCAGTTTCTCAGAGATTAAGTGGCAGAGGTGGGCCTCCTCCTCTCAGCCACTCATCCTTGCTCCTTCTAGATTACCCATGCGTCAGGCTGACTCTCCTGCATTTTCCCTGACCCACCAGTGGAGAGGATGGCAGTGCAGCTCCCTGTCCTTAACATGCACAACTGCCCATGCTTGCTGGAATGCTGTGCTAATGGCCAGTTACAGTAGGAACCAGGAGACAAGACCTCTGCCTTCACTGGAGGGGCGAGCCAGAAATAAAGGAAACCAAACAGCAGTTCCCGCCTCTCCGTGTTAATTCATTGTTTATTAAGCTGATGGATCATTTAGGAAATAATATTTCTCATGACAAAGAAAAATGAAGTTCAGTACTTCCTCCTGTTTCAACTTTTCTTTTTCTTCCAAAAGTCAATGCAAATGTAAGACCTTCACATATATATGAAGCATAGATTCAGCATGGCTGATCCTTTCTTCACAAAGGAAGAATCCATTTGCTCACAGGAGGTGAGTGGTCTAAAGAACCCAGGCCCTGGTGATGCTCACGTGATCTGAAACCATCTGTTCCAAGGGCAAAGGGGAGCTGAGCTAAGAAGCAATACTCCCTCAAGAGAAGGCCGTCAAAACCTTTCCATCTGTGAGGAGCAAGACCTTAAGTTGGTGGCTTTGAAAGCTAACCTGCCTGTACTTCAAAGCAGTGCCCTGCTGTGGGATCTGCCAGGGGCTTTGAAGTTGTCACCCAGAATTTTCTCTGGAAAAACTTACTTTATAGCTTTGCTTTTAAACCCCGTTACATTCAATTTTAGCATTCAGTGTTTCAAATGCTAAATTCAGGCACTCTCCACAGAAATCTCCACATGGAGGCCAGGCTGCAGATACCACAGGAGCTGAGCTGATGGGGTTGTACACAAAGTGGTTTCTTCATGAAGAGCTAGGAGGAAGGAAGGGCCTCTTGGGTGCTAAAGACGGAAGGGTACTAGAGAAACCACTGCTAAAATGTAGCCAGGGTTTGGCAATCAGTGGATTCAGGGTCCATCCAACAAGCCTTCCCTCTCTGCTGGCTAGGAAAAGAGAAAAATGGGGTGACCACGAGGTGCCAAGGTTTTGCAGAGATAGTGACAAATCCACGTGATCAGAAATAGTAGCTGCTACTGTACATTG